GTTGTTGGTTTAGTGCAGCTGCTAAAACAGAATCCGGGCATCAACGTGCTGTGGATGAATTTGCCATGAATCGCATCGCCAGAGTAGCAAAAATGAAGAATCATAACTAAATGCGGTTACACTTAAATATAGTATAAACAGAATGGAAGTAAGAAGGAGGTGGGTGAGGCTAATCGCATTGAAGTATGAAGAGCTACACGCAAGAGAACGAATCCAGGGGTAGCGCTGACTCCGGCAATGTGCCATGTCCGATAGAGTCTCTAACCATTTATTTGGACTAGCACGAGGCCCCCATCTACGAAGACGGCACGTACCTGCTTGACCAAGTCTCTCGATCAATTCCAAAGTGAAGCGTACGGAATTTACGTAGTTTTTATCAGGGCTTCATAATTAAACATACTATTAATGGCACCACAAGTTTAGCAATAGGAGAATACAGTCAACCGCAATTTATCTGTTCTGTAATAGTGAGCAATCTGAGAGTGCGCAGTTGACCACACTTTATGTTAAAGCGTAAGGTATCTACAATGAAATGGATTTGATTGGTTACTGGGTTATTTTCGTTTGTTTCGATTGAAAGCAAACAGTCTTATATCCTGCGTAGACTTCCCTTGTTTGTAACGGCGGTCATAACGGTTAACTCTCTTGCAGCCGGGATCCGTGTATGAATTCCAAGCCCCACTTACCAACCAATTAATGCAGAATGTTGTCGTTTGCATGAAAGATTGTATCTAATTTTGTGGGTGAGCGGCATAACACCCAGAGATTCTCATGATCATACCCACAACTTCAACTCCTGAGAACGATTGTTATCGGTTTGAGGTGCATTGGATCAAACACGTACCAGCGTCACAGCAAGGTACGCATTCACTTTCATTGAAAGAACGCAATCTTCGTCGGTTTCGTACACTCCAGGTTCAGGTATTGAATCCAAACGATCCGCATAAACGGAATACATTTTGCTGTTGGTTTTTGGGTCACATGTGCATTCACTCCGTAATGTTTACGGATGAGTCCGTTTTTCATTTGCATGGAACGGACAAACAACATTTCTGGGCTAGTTCAAATCTACGCAGATGCACAGCGTCACGTATTCAACATAGGGCCAGGCTGATAATTTGGGCTGGAATTACCGGTCAGAAAATGGCTGGACCATTTTTCGTTTCCATGTATGTAACCCATAAGTTGTTTTATATTACTCACCTCTTACTTTTGCTAGCATCGTCGTACAAGGAATTGCTCCAGCCTTGCGTACTGCCAGAGTTTGAGGCGGATGGACTTCGCAGTACCATATGGTTGCAGCATGATGGTGCACCAACACATTATGCTCAATCAGTGCGAGAATATCTCTGTGAGGAATTCGGCCGACGTTGAATCGGTCGTGGAAGCCCCATCGAGTGGCCTCCACGATCACCCGATTTCAACCCGCTAGATATTTTTCTCTGGGCATGTCTGAAAGTTTGAGTTTACGGAAGCTAGTCGATTTACCTCATGCAATTGAAGCAGAATATTGTGAATGAATGCCACACCATGACCATCGTGACGTTGCAGAAATTACTTGCTAACTGCATCAAGCGATTTCTGTACAGGTGGACACTTTCAACATCTCCTTCCATGATATCTATGTCCGTCTAACCCTGCTTTTGTAAAAATATGCATCAGGAATCTATTGCATGGGAACATCATTCTATGAGCGTTGCGTGCTTATTCAGTAGTATGCCTTAGTCCGAATGCCGTGAGAAGTTGGGAATTTCTCATGCGTAGATTAGAGTGTAGGTTTTGGAGGCGTTCGGGTAAATGTTCTCTAATCCACACCGGAGCCAAAAGTAAGTGACTATTTGGAGGCTCCGGTATGTTGTTTATAGACAAATTAGTTATTGGTCATGGTGCTATTGCACACAATGCTTCTTGCTTTTAGTAGAGGATTTCGTTTGGGTCCCGTGCAGCTTACGAACCCATGTCAATGCGCCTAGTCAGTGGAATCTCCGTGATCCATATTTTGCTCCGCCATGTCTACCTTTATGGGCGGCTACCCAGATGACCGCGAGACTTAATCAGACAGGTACTACAACATGGTAGTTGCTAATTTTACTGTAAAAGGAGTGGACTTATCGTTTTTGACACATCGCCCTTTGGACTTCGGATGGACAGTTATTTCGGTCCACTGGGAAGTGACGAGTGAGTGAGCCGATCTGCAACACCAGGACAGTTACTGTGAGCTCATTGGCAATACGTCGCGCACTAAGCAGAAGTCACATGTTAAATTCCGCACCTACTCGTCAGCCCTCGGTAGCTCAGTGGTAGAGCAGCGGGCCGGAAATTCGTGGACCGAGGTTCGATTCCCCGTCGAGGCAGGTTTCCGTGTGGAGTTTAATCGTGACTTCTGCCTTCTACGATACATTAGTCCTTGTCTCTACACACATGATTTGGGGTGTTTAGAATCAGATATGCCATTATCAGGTCGTCCTGTTCATGTCAGAAAATGGTGATGTCAATTTGTCCGAATGCCCGTCTCAGCAACCCGACGCGTTGACTACTACTTTTCGATACATTTTCGGATTGCTGGGAACAACTCATGTCATCCTGAACCAGTATGCGTAGGTCGCATTCGATGGGAGATCTCTGCAGTACTTGCTTTCCGTGCATGTAGCAGTAGGTACACTGGTGTTGTATGGAGAGTACCTTGCATCTGCATGCATCGCAAGTTTGCAGCTTTTCGTTTGACCACAGTTGTACTATGTACAAGTCATGCTGCAGCAAATCCAGATCGGCCTCCGAATGAATCGTGCGCTATAGCTTGATGTCGTCAGCAAACATTAGAAAACTTGAACCCATCGTCTGTGTCAGATCGTTGAAAAATACCAAAAACAATCGTGGCCCTAGAACAGAACACTGAAATATACCACATTCTATGTGTATAGGATCTGATAAAGAGTTTGGAACTCTAACCACCAGCTGCAGTCGTAGGAGAAAGCTGACAATCCAGATGAGATGGGGGTCACGGATGACATAATGCTGCAGCTTGTAGAGAAGAATCCATTGATCTAGACGGTCAAATGCCTTTGAGAAATCATATTAAACTACATAGACGTTCTCTCCTGTGTCAGCTGACTCAGTCCAACTACTCTGGGCTATCAGTACATTTATTGTGCACGATCTCTGTCGACGAAAGCCATGTTACTCGAGAGCAATGATGTTGCAGTCTTCTGGATAGCACACCAATGCATCAGCAACGATGGACTCCATCAGTTTGGACAGTACAGAATGAAATGATACTGCTGAAAGAACTGAGTCAACGGTTATGCTAGTTGTCATGACGCTGATGCCGGTGCTTCTGGGTGAGTAATATCGACGCCAGGGGAGCCGTGGCTGAACAGCGACGTAAGATTTTGCAGGGCAGCTACTGCGAAAAACCTGATGTGGTGGAGTTCCTGCTTTGGGGTAACAAAAGGTGGAAGATCACCTGGTAGCAAGACACCCTTAAATGTAAATTCAAATTGCGTTCATAGATGTTATAATTCAGTGTGTGACAACGCAATACTTCTGGGAACAACTGCGATAAGACTTTTTCTACTGTATGTATCTGAGACTTGACAAGTTCGGACGGAAGGCATCAAACGGTTGGCCGTCTTTGATCATCAGGTCTCACGTAGTGTTGTACGAATCTGGTGGGAACACAGGGTGAACAACCGTGAGGTCCGCCAGTTGTTTTTTTTTACAAACTATTCTCTGGTATCTCACTTCACTGTCTGTTGAGTTTGAATCCCTAACGTTGGTTAGGTCATGTAATACCTACATCAGTTAAACGCCTTCCTCGGCGAGCATTATACGCCCACGCTGCGTCAAGTTGGGTGAAAGCACGAGGTGTTCAATCGACGACGCGGCACAGGGCTGTGAAGAAATTAACTGAGAGACTTGGTCAAGCAGGTAAGTGCCGTCTTCGTAGATGGCGGCCTCCTGCTAGTTCAAACCAATGGTTAGAAACTCTATCGGACGTGGCGCATTGCCGAAGTCAGTGCTGCCCCTGGATTCGTTCTCTTGCGTGTGGCTGCTCATACCTCAGTGCGATTGGCTTCATGCACCTCACTCTTACTTCCATTCTGCTAATACCATATTTAAGTCTAACCGCATTTACTTATCATTCTTCATTTTTGCCACTCTGGCGACACGATTCGTGGCAACTGTATCCACAGCACTTTGATGCCCGGATCATGATTTATCAACTGTACTAAACTGAACTGAAACAACCGGATAATCTTTAAGTATCGTAGGTTCTTTAGGAAAGAGAAATTCCAGATCGAACTTGCTCACTTAAGAGGAAAGCAAAATACTACCAAGTCGTTATTATTCGAAAACTTATTTCTCACGTGTACATCTGTCTACGTTAATGGGAACCTAGCTGCGATGAAATAGCAGCAGTTGTGCACCACGTGTACGTTCGTCCGCCAACACGATGTCCTTTTTCTTACCACAGTAGACCCTGTACCTAACGGTAACTTCAGTGTACCGCTAAACATCGGTCAGTAAAGAGCCCACAGGCATCCAGTTTTCCACGAAACATTCTGTCATCAAACACGGACCAGAATGTATCGATCTTTCAAGTATCCCTAGTCTGTGCCTCATCGCCTGAAGCGTTGTGCAAGTTGCGGTACACAGACACCGCACTTGGTGCTTAGTGCATCGTGTGAGATCCGGACTGTCGCTAGAATTCCTCGGGTTTTCTCAGGGCGCGCAATGTGCGACAATTTACGGTGCGTCCATGACAATCGGCAGACGCATCTCGGCCACAGTGTAGACAGGCCCTAGGAAGATTACAGTACGGAAATTTTGCGTGCCCCTCTGATGCCAAAGAGCAAAATATGTGAGAAGGTTATTTCGGTCGTCACTTACTGACCTGGCCTAAGTTATATTCTGCTGTAGAAAAACTTAACGTAGTTGGGATAAGGCACTTGAGGCTTGTAATTTCGATTAGGGAAAAGACTTTCGACATGAGCACTTACCTGAAAACGAGTACACGTATATCAAATACTACTGTGTTATTCGGTTGATTCGCGATGACGGTGTACAGGCCTTCATCCGCTTGTGTGGGGTTGAAGATGGTCAAGCCAACAACGGAAGTGATATAACGCTGACCGGTAACCAGATTAGATCCTTTGAATCGCCAGTGCACAACTGGCGCAGGCAGCGCTTCAACGACGCATCGAATGGTCACAGAATACATTGGTTCGGCGAATCCGCTCGAACGGGAGTTTAAACTCTCTGTCATTGGTATCCATTGTTCGTTTGGGCAGTCGGTTGCAATCACGCTTCGTTCGACTGTCACGTCGACTTGGTCCAGCGCTATTTCGCGATACTGGTCGCCGTCTTGCCGACCCATCCGACAAACATATCTGTGCGCACGGGTAGAGATTAGGAAGTGCACTAAACGCAAACATATTTTAACTCGGTAACATTTTCAGTGGATAAAAAAATGGTCAGTCGAATCTACCTTGCATTTCCACATTTAATTCCAAAATCTGCAGGTTGTTCCGACTGCATTTTGTGCTATAGTTGATCGTAAACATTTACGCAGCAGAAAAGCAATGTTAATGACCAATAGATCTATGGATTCAAAATAACCTACAAGTGTATTTTCCGTGGTGATACTGCTACTGAGCTTGCATCAGGTTCGACAAATTGTTTTTCCAATGGCTCACATAGCAACACGGATGTTACACCGGAATACGCAGGCCTAAGATTTTTAAGTTCCCGATGAGTATTTGCTACTTACCTAAGAGGAGTAGTCTAAATTTACCGGTGTCTATTTGAGGAACAATACTATGTATTGTGGTTGCGATATTTAGGTTTGCGAAGGTTAGACAAGTTAAAGAATTGAAGCGCAGAAACAGCCATAATCCCGAACAGTAGCACAACTGAATTATGTACATTCGTTGCGGTGTGACCTTGAGAGAAGTTGCGTGCTAATCGCTCACTTGTGCACTCGTGGTTTTTAACTGTGGTTCAGCGACATTTTGTCGCACACCTTTGGATCCATACTTATTCGTCGTGCTTTTACAAGCTCTACTTTGTGATACCAGTTTCCCGAGTATACTCCAGTGCATCCTACATTTACCCTGATTTCTAAATTCCGGGCAGTGTTTCGCAGATATCCAAGCGCCAAAAGTTGCCTAACTCCAACCATCGGAGACATTGTTTGGTCTCACTCGATAGACCATTTCAACGGCTTTCGAACGAACTGTCACTCGTTCAAATCCAACATTGCTTGGTGCAGCTACAGGTCTCAAAGCAAATTCACCCGGCGCGATCCATAGGCCTAACCACGAGAATTCTCAATCACACCTTCGTGTATTCTGCCCCACGTTCAAGCTGACACATTCGACTGGCACGCCAGAGAGGACAGTCTACAAGCACACAACTGCAACGTGAACACTGTGACCTTACCGACAACGTCAATAACAGAACGACATTTTACCATAGAGGGTGAGTCATTCAAATGGTTCGTAACATTTGCTCAACAAGCGTGATGCCCAGTGTGCCACAGACTAAAGACCTATGTGGATCATGTTCCAAACTTGTTAAGGGGGCATTTTGTGCCGTAACTGTTGCAAGTTCTTCCATGCGAGATGCCTCCGAGTTAAACCTAGTCAGGCCAAGTTATTAAACAAACCAGACTCGCTATGGTTCTGTGTGGAATGCACATCGATCCCACTGATAAAAAGCGTGCTCCTATTATCTCAGAAGTATGACCAGCTACTAGCCAAGTTTGAGGAAATGGTGACCACCAAAATCACTACGGTTGGGGTAAGCATAGCGGACTGTGCAACCCAATCCTCCCCCTTGGTTGCTGCTCCTAACCCGCGAAGAACTGTTAATAACACCGTAAGCAACACGACACCTAGAGTCCAGAACATCAACAGCTGTCCCAATACCACACGTAGCTTACATTTGACTAAAGCGGTTCCCAGTTCGATCGGAGTAACTACACGTAAGGCTACTTCCAAACTCCCGACGGAGTGCGTAGAAAAAGAGCAAGCCGGTACGAGCGAAAGTTGGGTTACGGTTGCCTCCAAGAAGAGCCGTCATTTAAAATTAACATCACCCCCAACTGGATCTGAAACTGAGGAGCGTAGCGGAGTTTTCCTAGTGCAAGCACCACCGGTTTCCTGCGGCACATCTCCGAGTACTTCAATCACTAACCGCGACATGTCGAAAGGTCTAAAGAAACAACTACCTGTACTGAGCGTACTGTGCTCCAATATCCCAGAATCAAAGTCGACATCGATAAGAGGCAGGCAGTTGGATGACCTCAACCAGTGGGACATTATTAGTAATCTAATCGGAGTTGTACTGAAACCTGTACACGTAGTGCGTATTACACGACACCCCAACTCCAAACATTTCGGTGAGCCAAGACTTCTGCGCGTTGTGCTGAACTCCATCACTGAAGTAGAATCAGTACTACTGTCGACAGGTAGTCTCAGAAATGAACGCTGCTCCATCCGTATCTTTCCAGACATCCCATGGGGCGAGCGTTATCGAGTTAACCGCACCTTAGAGGACTACCGGAAGGAAACTTCAACCAGAACCATACTTCTTCACGGGGTTCCTGAAACTGAAGCATGTGATGAGCATGAAGTAACAACCCATGATAAAGAACAGTGGTGTTATATTCGTGAAACACTCTGCTTGGATGATGTGTTAGCGAAATCCGTGTCACGACTGCGTACCTCACCGAACTACAAAGGAAGTGGCCCGAGAGTGTTGAAGGTGGTCCTTCAGTCAAAACATATGGTAGCACGGATGCTAAAAAGCTGGTACATGTTCCGTTGCAGGCTACCATCTGAGGTTCGGCTGAAGACAATCAGCGATATGCATCCTAGAGATGATATGTCACTCAAAGAACCAAACGCGTTAGGATCTATGAAAGAACAATGCACCAGTAGTGTGCCGAATGAGCCCATACAACCTGTAGAAGATGATATTGACCAGACACCTTACACTGTACGTCGAAGATTAGACACGGGACTAGCAACACGGACGATGAATAAGACGTTAAACCCTTCACCAAGTACACATCGAAAAAACGATTAGTCGCCGGCCACTCACTGGTCGGCGAAACTTCACATATGAGTTGTAGAACCTCCGAAACATTGCTTAAATCTGAGAAACTTTCATGTATGTACACTAACGCCCAAGGGCTCCTCAGTAAAATTACCGAACTTCGACTACGTCAGGTTGCAAATGCTTGGGACCTAATTTCTATTACCGAAACTTGGTTACACCAAGAGGTGACTGATGCTGAGGTTGAGATAGCCGGAATGTCACTCATCCGGAACGACCGCCCCAGCAGAGGAGGTGGGGTCCTACTCTACTACCGCAGCGATCTACAATGTACAATAGTTGATGATCTGGAAACACACGTTACCGACTCACTCTGGTGCCGTCTCCGACTAAGACACAACGACGCATGTCTCGTAGCTGTCGTTTACCGCCCCCCAACGTCCACTCCGGAAATGGATTCTCGCTTGATCCGTGGCCTGAACAGAGTAACACGCACTAGGTACAGCCACATTCTCATCTCCGGGGACTTCAATCTACACAATCTGGAGGTTTCGGCATCGCCCAGTGAGCAGTTCAAAGCAGACTTGCATGAACTGATCGCTAATATTCCTTTGTACAATCATGTCACCACGCCCACTAGATTCAGGACAGCAAACAAACCGTCCATACTGGACCTTGTGCTCACGAATGAAGAGCTCATGGTTGACAAGTTATTGATGGATAGTCCATTAGGTCTCAGTGACCATGTAGTAATAACGTTTAACTATGTGTGTTATGCAGAGTATCCATCTGAACACTCGGAACTAACTCATACAATCACACGCTACCACGTATTGAAAGAACTCGCCGACGCAGCTGCTTGGGAATTCTCAAACAAAAGTCCCCTTGACAACGTTTGGGCAGAGTTCGTTAATAGATTCAGCGACATCGTCAACAGAGCATCAGAGACCAAGCCCCTTCGTCCCGCAAAAATGCCTTCAATTCTAAGGAGCAGGACTCGAAAATGCCTGGCGATAAGGGATGCAGCATGGCGTGCTTACAAGATTAACCCCGACTCAGAGACTTGGGGCAATTTCCTGACCCATCGCAACCATTGCACTGCACTTGTCCGTGAGGACAAAGTAACTTATCAACAGTGCCTAGCCAAAAAATTCATGGCAAACAACAAACTGCTATATAGGCATGTCAATAAGCTTCGTAAAGTGAAGCATGGAATCCCTCCACTTTTCACGACAGGCGGTAGAGTACAAAGCGCCGAAGAAGCAGCTAATGCCCTGCGGCTTCAATACGCCCCAATTTTCGAACTCGCAACCTCTACTTGTCCCATAACGTCATGCACATTACCGACCCATTGTTTACAAATGTAATTTTCAACCCATCAATTGTGTTAAGGAAGTTACTCTCACTGCGTGAGCATAGTTCTCCGGGAGCAGACAACATCCGCCCGAAGGCACTGAAGGCTGTGGCCAACAAGCTAGCTGAACCACTGTCACAGTTCTTCCAAAGGTGCTTTGATGAGCAACAAGTCCCCACTATGTGGAAGTGTGGCATTATCACCCCTATTTTTAAAGGCGGTAGCCGTTCAGATCCTGCAAACTATCGTCCAGTGACTCTCCTCCCTGTGCTCGCGAAGGTGATGGAAGCAGTCGTCGCTGAGGCTTTAATGGACTACCTGGAAAAATGCAACATCTTGGTACCGGAACAGCATGGCTTCCGTCAACACCGGTCATGCACCACCAACCTACTGATTGCACGAGGTAGTTGGACGGAAGTGGTCGATGATGGGGTCGGAGTCGACGTCATCTATCTGGACTTCTCCAAAGCTTTCGACCGCCTTGATCACCGCATCCTACTTCAACGGCTACAGAGATACGGAATCGGAGATCCTGTACTTGGTTGGATTGGCAGCTTCCTTCACCAACGGAAGCTTCAAGTACGTGTTAGGGGATCACTCTCTAACCCAATTGAGGTGGAATGTGGTGTTCCACAAGGCTCAGTGCTGGGACCGCGCTTATTCCTGGTGTTTATCAACGACCTGGCATCAGTTATCTCCTCAAATTTCCTGCTTTTCGCCGATGACGTCAAGATATGGCGGGCGATTAGTAACAAGCCAGATCAGGATCTGCTCCAACATGACCTAGATTGCATTTACGAATGGTCAAAGAGGAACATGCTTCAATTGAACATAGCTAAGTGCAAAGTGATACATCTGCGTCACCAGCTGGTGAGCGCTTACAAGCTTGGAGACCACACCTTGGAGAAGGTCTCTCAGGAGCGTGACCTGGGTGTATTGGTACAGGAAGATCTCGGGTGTTCAAAACAAGCAGAG